GTCCTGGTGTGGCACTGTGGGTTAATGCGCTGGACTGCAAAGCCTGTGTGAACTGTAAGGTCATCAGTTCAAGCTCATCAGCTGCTCCTTGGAAACCCTACACAGGGTTGCTATGGGTAGGAATCGACTTGACGGCATTTAACAACAACAATAACCACAAATAGCGCTGCAGGATAAGGTACTGGACTACAAGATTGGTTTGAATCACAAGCTCGGTGGTTCAAACTCAACCAGCGGGTCCTTGGAAAGCCTATACAAGATCACTATATATGAGTCAGATTTACTTAACATCACTTAATAACAACAATCTTTATGGGAGCAGATTGTCAGGTCTCGGTGGCTTCAAACTGCCAGCTTTTCAGTTAGCAGCCAAGTCCTTATCTATTGCCCCACAGTTAGAAATAGGGGTGGTGGTGGTGGTGGTTGTGTACCTTCAAGTAGGTTCAGCCACTCTGTGTAGGGCTTCCGAGGCTGTAAATCTAAACGAGAGCAGAACGCTTCAGTTAGCAGTCCAACTCGTAACCCACTACGCTCTCAGGATTCCTTTAGAAGTAGTGAGGGATACTGAAATAGTAAAAGGCAAAAAAACACTTATCTTTGAAAAAGAAATAGTCTAGTTTGCAAAATAATACATGTACGAAATAACTAGAATGATTGTCCTGTATTCTGTGCCTAAAAGATTTTCTCTACTAATTTTTTTCTTTTTCTTTTTGCATGGTAATTTGCAAATACTGTTTTTGGTTGACTGTTTTGGACTGTTATAGTTAATTTAGTACACAATCTGTAAGAATTTAGAGCAGTATTCTCAACTATCTGTCATAAAAGGACCAGTATTTTCTCCCCAATACATGGTCCCTTAGAGCATGACTTGTATGAAAGTTCAGTAATTCCCAACATAGTCAATATCCTGCTTAAGGCTCACTTACTTATCGTACACTTGGATATTGTGGCAATCTCAAATGCTTACTATCAATTGAATTGTCTTCTCATGGGCCAGCACTGGTCCATAGACCACACCAAGTAATACGCATCTAGAGAACTTTCTTGACTGTAAAAATGGGTTCATCTATTGTCATAGTTACCTTACAACTTTTAACCTGGTTTTTGATGGTAAGCAGGAGGTTTGGGACCCAGTGAATGGAATCATGAACATGTATCACAAAGCTGTTTTACCTGGTTTATCTGAGGCACAAGGATGAAGTAGGTAGCTAGTGGCCCGTAGTCCCTGCTACTGTCAATTCTGTAACTGCCCTTGCTCCTTTTGATACCTGATCGTCAGGTGTATGTCCTTTTCCCACCTTAGTCACTGATGATAGAACACTTTTGTGAGCTGCTAGTACATTGGAGGAAAACGGCAGAATAAGAAGTGTCATAGTAGACAGAAGTGATGAGCTAGCTATTATTTAAAGCAGCACCCTTAGATCCAAGATAACAAAGACACAATAACAGCAGAGTGTGTACCTCAGACCAGTTAAGGAGCAGTAAGACTGGATACTTGATTTATTTGAACTTTGGTTCCAGAGAGCTCTGTTGTACAAAGGAATCTTGTGGAAGTTTTTCATAGTGCTGTCTTTACTGAAGATTTCTAAGATAATGGCTAGCTGGTATATAAACCCCCAAACAGACGTTGTATTCTTCCCTGTTAGTGGGCTGGTGGAGTTCTGTGGAACCCCCAGACTCCACACCCCTCCACTCTTCTCATACTGTCCTTTTTTATGTGTTTTGCTTGTTATCCCGCTCAGATGACACAAGTGTCTCATCTTTTGAGAAAGAGAAAGCACTTTTGCATGATGGCTGTTTAGGCTTCTGAGAAATACTTGGTAAGATTGGTATGGGCCAGGAGCATACCAAAATACGTAGAATGAAGACGAAAAACTTGTTCTGGTTTTAGGTATGTTAAAGTAATGAACAAGTTGACTCTTGGTGGAGGTCTACTACAAAGTGAAGTCTTTTGGTTGCTGATATGTGGCTGGGATGTTTTTAAAAAGAGAATAACATTTCCAGTTGATAGTAAAAAGGAAGAAGGAGATACCATTTATAATGCACTGGAGCATTTGTACTGGTAGAAAAGAGTCACTTTTGTACAGTGTATTTATTTTTCTTTATCCAAATGATGAAGGGAAATGTAAAATGAAATGATGTTGTTGGGTGCCATCAGATCGGTACCAACTCATAGCGACCTTATGCACAGCAGAATGAAACACTGCCCGATCCTGGGCCAACCTCACTACTTTTGCCACGCTTGAGTCCATCAATGCTGCCACTTGGCCAATCCATCTCGTTGGGGGTCTTCCTCTTTATCTCTGACCCTCCACCTTACCAAATGTGATATTCTTCTCCAGCGACTGGTCCCTCCTGATAATATGTACAAAGTATGAGAGACGAAGTTTGGCCATCCTGGCCTCCAAGGAGCACTCTGGCTGCACTTCTTACAACACAGATCTGTTGGTTCTTTGGGCAGCTCGTGGCACTTTCAGTATTCTCCTCCAACACATAACTCAAAAGCATCAACTCTTCTATGGTCTTCCTTATTCACTATCCAGCTTTTGCATTCATATGAGGTTATTGAAAATACCGTGGCTTGGGTCAGGCACACCTTAATCCTCAAGCTGACATCTTGCTCTTCAACGCTTTAAAAAGGTTTTGTGCAGCAGATTTGCCTAATGCAATACGTCATTTGATTTCTTGACTGCTGCTTCCATGAGTGTTGATAGTTGATCCAAGAAGAATGAAGTCCTTGACAACTTCAATCTTTTCTGCATTGATAAGAATGTGGTTTATTGGTCCAGTAAAATGATATAGATAGTTGAAAGAAATTATTTTCTAGAAAGCAAATATGTGACCCACCTTGGAAATATTTATTACTTTATAAATTCTCTTCCTGAGTATTTTAATGTTGCTTCCAAGAGACTTATTGTATCATCTTTATCTTTCTAAAAGGATAGATACTCTCGAACTTGCTGGCGCCTAACAACAACAACAGATTCATAATGCCTTCTTTCACCTCCAAATTTTTACTGATGCCATAGATAAAGATAGCTAACTAGTATGTGAGGGGAGTTATTATTTATATCTGCGTCCTTATCAGTTGTAATAGAAAATGCCAATGTGGCACCATTTTCACATAATTTGTCGGATAAAGACTTCACCATATTTTAATGTGCTCGGCAATAGGGCTTTCAGTTAAACTTATATTTTGAACTCCTTTTTTTCTGTCTGGAACACATAATTAATGAACCACATAATGTTGTTGGGTGCTGTTGAATCAATTCTGATTCATAGCGACCTTATGTATAACTGAATGAAACATTCATTGTCTTGAACCACTTAATAGAGAATCTTTAATAAATGCACCATCTCTGGTAAAAAGTTTTAGTGTATTTCCCCTCTTAACATTGCTTTATAGCTATTGAAATTTAAATCCTACGGTTCACAAAGTTTTTGTCCCTCTCAAATCTTTGTAGTGAACCAGTGGTATTTCTTACTACTGTTTGTTTCATAATATCATCTTAAATTATATTCGTATATTCATTACATGGGAATATTCTTAACTTCCACAGAGAAATAGAACTATACCCTGTTTATCTGGAGACATATGGCCCCTATCATAAATTGAATTTGGGTCTCCACAAAATGTGTGTCAACTTGGTTGGGCCATGATGCTCAGTGGTTTGGCAGTTATGTAATGATGTATTATAGAGGTTATGTGATGATCCCCATGACTGATCTGATGTAAAAAAACAATTAAGAGGATTAAGGATAGGCTGCAATACCCTTAAAATTCTGGCGTGGCATGATAGGATAAGCACTGTACTGTTAATCACAAGGTTGGAGGTTCAAACCCACCAACTGCTCCTTGGATACCCTATATAGGGTCGCTATGAATCAGAACTGACCGAACAATAATAACAACAGCAGTACCCTTAATCCTATCGAAACCCTAATCTGATGTATGGGAGTTCCCCAGGGGTGTGGCCTGCATATCTTTCATCTTACAAAGATAAAAGGACAGAAAAATGAGCAGAGAAAGCGATATCTACTACGAAGAAGAAAGAAAAGCCAGCAGTAGAGTGTGTCCTTTGGACCTGGGATCCCTGCATTATAAAGTTCCTAGATTCGGGGAAAGACTGATGCCAAACACATAGAGCTCTCTAGGAATGCTGGGCCTACATTACTGAAGGACCTTTCCGGAGAGATAAAGCCTTCCCGTAGAGCCGGCATTCTGAATTTGGACTTCTAGCCTCTCAAACTATAAGAGAATAAATTTCTGTTTATTGAAACCATTCACTTGTATTTCTAGATAACTAAGACAGCCTTCTCAATCCATTTTGATTTTCTACTCTTGATGGGAAGATGGAGACAAGACCAAGAATAGTCAAGACCAGCTTAAAGAATAACTAGGTAGATGATTTGTCCATCCTAGGTGCTGTAACTCCTTACCAAGTCCGTGTGGTTCCTAGTTAAGGACAGAGTACATTGAGAAATGAATCAGAAGAGAATCTTGAAATGGAAACTTAACTGGTGATAGAGATAACATTGTTGAGCAGTGGAGAGACAATGGCTCTTGAAATAAATGGCCCTTGATGACTATCTACATAGAAAAAGTGAAGTTAGTAGAAGGTTATATAGATTAATGATATACACATATGTTCACAAATAGATGTATATATGTGTACATATTTTACTTTAAGTTGATCTTTAATGTAACATGTGCACATATGTATGCTTTTTCTTTAGTTTAATCTTTCAGAAACACTGTTTTTACTGTGTATTTTATACAGCATATAGTTAGATTTTGTTTTTTGTATCAAACTAAAAGCCTATGATTTTTTTAATAGATGAGCTTATCTTATTTGCAGTTACCCAGGTGTTTAGTGGTGTGGAATGGTTTCTGGATGAAGTAAATTCACAGGTCATTCCATTTCTCCCTAGCCTGCCTGCTTGTTCCCACTAAGTCAGGCACTCTAACAATCTACTCTTTTTATAGCAGTGTTTGTAATATGACTTCCCAAGAGAAGACAGAAGAGTATCCTTTTGTGGACATATTTAATGAAGATGAAGCTGAAAAAAACTTTTTATTGTCCAAACCTGTTTGCTTTATTATATTTGGAAAGCCAGTAAGTTACCTCTTCTATCTTATTTTTAATTATAAATTGTTCGTTTGAAAATCCTGCTCTTATAAATTACCATACAAGAGTGAAAACCACATGTGCTAGTTTTTTTTTGGTTATTTTGTATTGTTTATTAGATTTTCATTTTTTGACCCGAAAGTGATATAATGTTAATGATAAAGTCACAAATTTCTCTGTTATACAGCTATAATTGAAAATTAACCTAAATTGTACTGAGCTTATATATATATGAGGCACTGTAGGATTAGCACTGGACTTCAAACCACAAGATTGGCAGTCAAACCCACCAGCTTCTCCTCGGAAACCCTATACAGGGTC